CCAACTCATCAGGATGGAGACAGTAGCCGCCTCGAGGGTGGCCAGGCACAGGGGGAGATCATAGCGGTAACTGCTATCAACAGGCTTATCAGCATCTACTGCCCCACAGAGAGGCAGTTCAGATTTGGAGACTTCCGGTAAAAAGGAGAATGAAAGAATCACTGAGGAGTAAGAGAACATAATTGTGTACACAAGGAAGGCACCTCCCTGGGACTCCCACAAATCACTGGGTGGTATCTGGGGAGCCATGACAGGGACCCACAGAAATAGGAATCATTTCTACTTGTGAGAAACTATTGTTAAGTCTGGGCAAGCACCTTTTTAGTTGTTTCCTCTGGTTTGCTTATTTAGAGGAAGTACGTTACATCCGAGTCGTAAAACTCTAGAATAACAGATACTTTAAAAAACCATCTGGCTCTGCCCCATGGCATGCTCTTCCTGATATATCCACATTCTTTAAACTTGGCAGTGAGTATCTTAGAAAGAACACACTAATAAGAATATGATAATGCAGAGTGGAATAAAGGAAAATATCCGAAGGCCATAGTCCAAAACAAGTATTTTCTCCAGTTCAACCAACCCTAAGGGAAAGGTCAGCAGTGGTAAAAAAAATAACGATCACTGGCTTAGCATGACCATACCCCCCTAGCTGGCTCATTGAAATCATCCTTTATTCAACTGTCTCCCTCCAGAGAAAGGGAAGGAGGATGCTATAAATCCTGAACTGTGCCAAGGTTCTCATTTGTTTGAGTTCTGGACCATCTCCCGGTCTGTTAAAGCGCGACTCGTCTGAGAGGATGAAATCTAGGACTCTACCAGTGCCGTGACCATGGAGCATCAGCGGCACATCACCAGCCGTCAGGGGTCTGTGGTGTGACAAGTGCCCCTTTGTAACAGGCATTGAGTTTCCATCTGGAAAAGCAATCCCTTCCCTATGATTCTACGGGGACAGGGACATCTATCTTCCTCCTGGAGAGGAAACACCTCTGAAAGATGAAAATGTTAGCCCCATCTTCCAGGGCTCACTGCATCCCCCAGCAGCCTTGGTCCTTGTGGATGTTACTTCACGTCTGGCCCTTCCAGTTCCCCTGCCCTCCTCCCACACCTGCATCTGCAACACAGGCAAACACACTGGAGAGCCAAGTCTCCTGCCCCCACAGAAGGACCGCCTCCCCCTGCCCTCCCCCTGCAGTCATGCCAGCTGAGTTACAATCAGCAGAGGACTTACTTATGTCATCATTCATCCTAGACGAGCCTCCATAGGCCTTTCAGGGATGCCCAGCATCACAGAGCCAAATCACCTACGCCCACTTTTCTGACTGGTCTTCATCTTTTGGCTCATTATAGAAGACACACCTTTTCTTTGTGTGTACTTTCTGTATGATAGCACAACTCCATTTGTAAGGGTATATTTTTCTCTGGGTTTTTCACTTTAAACTGTATAGAATTTTAGTTTCCTTTTTCAGAGTTTTACTCACATCATCTAATTTAACTACTATGTAGTCCATTTTTCAGTTATATTCCATCAAGATACAACGAAGAAGGTTGTATAGATCAGTGTCCTACAAAAACTTTGCAACAAAAATACATATTAATTGTATGATCACCACTGGTTTTGTTCTGGATCACTCAGAAAGCACTCTGCAGGTATCTGTGATAAAATTCTACTTTTTTTTCTACTATGGACATAACTTTCCTTCCAAGCATCACTTCAATTTTCCCATCCTCGCTCCAATTTTAAATAAGTTTGATGGAGTAGATATTAAGCATTGGATCTTTTTTCCCCCTTCTTCTTCTTTACCAAAGAAAATTATGTTTCTTCTCATTTTCAAAGAGAGATCTTCATGATGCTTTCCCTGTGGTGACTGTTTTGGGTAGCAATATCTCTTAGCAAATACTATGCAATTATGTCACCGGCAAAAGAGCTTGTCACACTGCAAGTAAAAAAACAATAACAAAAAATCTGTATGCTTCGTAAAGACCTACATTTGTGGAGAAGTGAGACTTGTACTCCATTCTTCCCTTCAAAACAGACAAGCATTATATTTTCCTATGGGCCCCAATATTACTCAATAGAGTTTTAAAGCTTTTTGTGATCATCTGAGACCTGAGTGATCAGAAGAAAGACAGGCGAGTGTCAGCCTGCATTTGGGGAAATGTTCTGCAAATGTTATTATGCTTGCATCACCTTGAAAGAAGAAAGTGGCATTGCAAATGTCTACAATTGAATACTGGTTGGTTAAGTTTTGTTTTTAAAGTATGATAAATCAGAAATAATTTTGTATAGGTGAGGAAGGCCCGACCATGAAAATGTTTGACCTCTCTAAATAAGATAAGGCAATTGAGACAACAAAAATTAGGTCGACGCTCTCCTATTTCTGAAGGAGCGAGTCTCTCGATGAGCAAAACCTTTCCGATGTGAAAGCCGACGTGGAAGCCAGAAATGACACCCAAGTGTTAAAACAAAGGAGTGGTCAGGCAGCTTGAGATGCGTGTTTAGAGATGCCAGTCCCAGACAGAGAATGAGACTTACTTAGAACACATCTTGCTTGATTAGATGGTATGTTTGGACCCCATTTGATTCCAATGACTTCTATCAAAAAAAAAAAAAAAATCCAAGCAAATCAATCCAAGCTGAATGCAAAACAGGCAGGTCAGAGTCTGTGATGATTTAGAACTCTCCATTATTGGGGCACCTGTGGGGCTCAGCCCGACTTGGGCTCAGGCCATGATCTCACGGTTCATGAGTGCGAGCCCTGCATCAGGCTCTGTGCTGACAGCTCAGAGCCTGGAGTCTGCTTCAGATTCTGCATCTGCCCCTTCCCTGCTTGTACTATGTCTCTCAAAAATAAATAAACATTAAAACAAACAAACAAAAAAAGAACTCTCCATTATGAACCACACCCATCTTGAGAGCAGGCCATCCCATCAGGGGAGATGGTCATGAGCAGCAAGTCTTTTCTTCCTTTTTTATTCAAAACAGCCAATAAGTGGCCATTTTGCTATTTTAAATGTTTTTAGTGGTCAATTCCACCAAACCGCAGAGGCAGGCAAGTGTAGACTGGGGTAACGTGGCCCAAACTTTTCACCTGGTTCAGAGTCTTTCTGCCACATGGTTAGTTCACTTAGGTCAGGCTCATGTTGGTCTTCGTTTCTGGGCTTATTGACACATCTTTGTAACCAAAACACTGCCATGGTCCTAAAGTGTTTTTATAAACCGATCTCTAAATTTCTTAGGCTAAATAAAATAACTTTCTTAGGCTAGAGAGATGCAAAGTGGAAGAAGTAGGCAAAAAGCCATTGTGGATGCCTGAGAAGGAAGGGATTCAAACCTTAATAAAATTCTCCAGAGAGCTTCTGGGCATCTGCGAGTGGAAGGGACACGTGTCCCCTTCCCAGTGTAGTTTAAAAGAGACAGCAGGACCCCAGGGAAGAAATATCACGTGTGCTCCGGCAGATAAGCTAGGTCAAGTGTAAAGAAGGAACAGTGGAATAATTTTTGTGTCTCTCTCTGATCGCAAGATTATCCACCCAGCAACAAAAAGACAGAACCAAGACCCAAAGATTCTTACAGTCAAGAACATTACAGCAATTACCTACATGGTAAATAAGGTCATGCTAATTATATTTTGGCACAGTCTTTAACAATCTTCTATGTTTTCATATCAGTAATTTACTGTCTAAGAAAACCAGTAGTATAGATTCGTTATGGGTTAAACAATCAAACAAAAATTCAAGAAAAGGGATTATTTCTTACTCTACCATTTACACATGGCAGTACCCTACAAAAATGTGCATAGTAAAAAACAAACAAAAAAAACCCAAAACAAAAAAACAAAAATGACCATGTAGAAAAGTGGCCTATGACCTTACGTACTTACGACTTGTGTTCTTTGTAACCTTGTGTACGTACAGCCCTCTATGGATAGCACTTTCAAGAACTGGAATCATCCTCAGAACCTAAGTTTCTCTCACTGTAAGCGAACGTCCATCTGCAGAAAAGCGTCTGTGATGCTTTCCCCTGGGAAAGGGAAGGGATTTCCCCTTCCCTTTGGGATGGAGCAGAGGAATCTGACAGTGGAGCACAGGGCTCAGGTGACCTTCACATACACTAACAATTGAGAACTGACAAATCCCTCCTCCTGTCTTCTTCTAAAGGCGTTACCTTAGAAACCACTAGAATCCCCAAAGACAAGATACCATGCTCTCTCAAGCAGTCACCTGGCACAGATTGCTACGATGGATGGCATGAGAAATCTGGAACAGCTAACAAAGTCCTCAGTGTCACAGACCCTGAACATGGCTGAGCCACATCCCGACCCCAGTTCCAGCGGATCCCCAAGCTGATTTTGTTCCAGAATCTTGGCTTGTGAACTAAACTAATTAGTTCTTGGGCCTTCGAACTCCTACTTTTTCAGTACCCTTTTTCTTCTTAGAACTTTTAAATTGGAGGATTTGGACGAAGTGATTATTCCTGGTGCTGTCAACTTTGGACTGAATTGTAGTCTGGAGGGACTGTAACTCGATTGAGAATCCAGAACTAAGGGGACATTCAGGCAGCCAGTGTTAAAATTCTTATTTAGGGGCGCCTGGGTGGTGCAGTCGGTTAAGCGGCCGACTTCAGCCAGGTCACGATCTCGCGGTCCGTGAGTTCGAGCCCCGCGTCGGGCTCTGGGCTGATGGCTCAGAGCCTGGAGCCTGTTTCCGATTCTGTGTCTCCCTCTCTCTCTGCCCCTCCCCCATTCAAGCTCTGTCTCTCTCTGTCCCAAGAAAAATAAATAAACATTAAAAAAAAAAAAATTCTTATTTAGAGTTTCACGCACATGTATCTTCTACACTGTAAACAATGCGGCTTTTCCTCAGGTCTTTCACAGTGATGACCTCTGCTCTGGGTCTAGTACTACCGTGGTGTTAGGAACCGTTGCCCCAGACACTCAGGTGTGCTACAGACTCCGTAGAGAGAATGGAGTAGGCAACCAGGAGTCACCTGTGTTTCCTACCTTCACTATCACTGTGACAGTAGCAATGCCCGGTGGCATCGTTCCATAAATATCGAAGGCCTCCACGAGAAAAGTGATGCTTGCTTCCTGGTCTGGAAATGACTCATAGTCCAAACTCCTTAAGAGGGAGAGTTCTCCTGTAAATGGATGTAGTGCAAAAAAGTGCTTGACTTCTGGGCTTCTGATCCGATAAGACACATTTGCTCCGAGGTCAACATCTTTGGCCTGTAACAAGTCAAGCAGAAAGGCGGTCATATCGGCAGTGCTCCCAAACCAGAGGACGACAAGCCTGATGGAGGTCATGTGTCAGTACCTACAACAACACAAATTACATGATGATCAAAAGACGTGTTTTAAAGAAAAGCTTTTTTGTTAGGTAACGTATCAAAAAGAGGAAGGAGAGGGGCGCCTGGGTGGCTCAGTTGGTTACGTGGCCGACTTCACTCAGGTCACGATCTCGCGGTCCGTGAGTTCGAGCCCCGCGTCAGGCTCTGGGCTGACGGCTCAGAGCCTGCAGCCTGCTTCCGATTCTGTGTCTCCCTCTCTCTCTGCCCCTCCCCCGTTCATGCTCTGTCTCTCTCTGTCTCAAAAATAAATAAACGTTAAAAAAAATTTAAAAAAATTTAAAAAAAAATTTAAAAAAAAGAGGAAGGAGAGAAAGAGAGACAAACAGAGACAGGGAGACAGAGTCCCATGACTCTTTATCATCTTTTTATCTTACTACTAGATTTATTTAACCTGGAAAATCACTAACGAAAAGAATCGTAGCACAGTAAAGAGATGAATATAGTCATAAATTATTATTATTTCCTGCTAATTGCATAACCTTGAAAAATAATATTTTAAATAAGGATTAATTTTTATTGAGTGTTTTTCACACACATAATAGAGTATTAAAGGAGTATAAGGAAACTAAGAAAACAGAAGTACTAATTGCTCCTTACAAAGATCCTATAGTACATTTCTAAAGATCCCTATTATACTCCATTTAATTAACATTTATTGAGTAGTTATTATGCACGAAAGCACGAGATGAGTCAAGACACAAATCCTGCCCTGCAGGTTAATGTCTCTGGGGGGAAAAAACAAGCAAACAAACAAATACTAAAATAGAAGTCACTCAGGGACATGGCAGCTAAAAGGTGTTCAGAACTGGGAATGGTGTGTGCCAGCTGTGGGTCCTGCAGGACTAGCACAGAAGGCAGAGGGTTCTGGTGGAGGCAATGGGATGGGGCGACGGGGAGTGGGGAGATGAGGTGTGACGGAAGGTGCACACAGCCATGCTTGCACCTGCTATGGGAACTTATGTCTTGGCCCCCTGGTCAGTTACTGACACCACGACTAGAAGATACGAGGAAAGCACACATTTTATGGTGTCATTTTCTAACTAAAATCCTTCTTGTTTCCCATTCTAGTTTGGGTTAACCCCAATCTCCTGAAAACTGGAAGAAGGAGCCATACATTTTCTAGCATCTCTCTGTCTCCTCTCCCCCAGGATTTGAAGAGATTTGTTCCAATGCTTTGAATCTCTCTTCTGCTGCTTGAAAAACTGACTTGCTTCTCCATTCACAATGTAGGAAGAGACTATCTAAGTCTCAAGACTAGATTTCGAAACTCTCTGTGATTTCTTAAGCACCTTGCATTGAGAACCTCTACTGCAATTAGGGTTGGCTTGTCTGTTTGCCACACCCAGCTGAAAACCCCAGGAAGGCATGAAATCTGTCTTATCCACGCTGGCATCGCTCAAGTGCAGCAGAGGATAAATGCATGTAATATACAGTGAAAATATGCTTGATGAATAAATGGATGAATAAATGAATAGATGAACAGAAGAATAAATGGAGAAATAGGGCCCTTTCCCTGGTTGGCACCTGCCTTTTTCAGAATAATTAATGTTTTGGCCTAAATATTTATTGAGTTGAATTATGAAAAAACTGCAAGTTCTTGAAATCCATGCTAACAACATTCAAGTTGTGGATGGCAGGTCAAGGAAGGACTAGATTTTTTTCCACCCCCAAAATATACTTCGTAGACCGTCTGTGTCAGAATTAAAGGGGCGATTGCTTAAAACGATTTCTGGGCCAACTGAATGTACTGAATCAGAATGTCCAGAGTTTCCGGTAGTATTGTAGCTGAGGACTGAAAAAACAGGCTTGAATGTGGGGACACTGTTAAACAGGACAGTTAGACTTCTGAAGAGCACTGAGAGTAAAAACAATGGGTTCAGCAATATCCCCTTTTGTAAAATATACGGCAAATCTCTACACATGTAAATATGAAAATATTTTTTGAATATATATAGGTATACATGATATGCTGGCATACATGCATATTTGCATATATGAAAATGTGACAATACTTATTTGAATATACACATGCACCCGTACATATGCACACACTGGCATGCATGCATATTTGCATATATGTAAATATGAAAATATTTATTTGATTACATATACATACATAGGTAAATATGCATACACTCTCATGCATGCATATCTGCATATATTTATATATGAAAATATTTATTTGAACATATACATACAAAGATATATATGCACATGGCTGCATATATACATATATACATATTTGCATATATACATACATGAAAACACTTGAATATATATATATGGATATATGCATACACACACATGCGTATTTGCACGTATGAAAATATAAAAATATTTATTGGATATTGTGGGAGTACAAAGATAAATGTCACAGAATACATATAAAAATTTAATCCTGGGTATCCTGGATGTACAAAGTGGGAGATTATTAACTTCTTCTTTATAGACTACTGTGTTGTCAATTTTTACAATAAATATGTAAAATTAATTTTATAAATTAAAAAAATTATTAACAACTGTTATTTGATTTCTTACAAATGTATCTTTTCTCCTCTTAATTTTTGGTATATCCCTGAAGTAAGGTTGTTAGATAAAATACAATATGTAATATCTGAGAGGCACTTATATTAAACATTTACTCACTGTTTATCTGAAATTGGAATTCAACTTGGTGTGTTGATTTTTTATTTGCTAAATCTGCAACCTGACACTAATGGAGATATTAAAATGTGGAATTCACGAAATTAATGCGTCTTCCACCCACCTCTATCTGAAGGAAGGTGGTCCCGGCTGGCAGGTTCTCTTCTACGATGACAGTATATGTTGAGTTAGTGAACACGGGACTGTTATCATCAATATCCAACACTTTGATGGCCAGCGTCAGGGTTGAGTGACGTGGGTGAACCGCCCCATCGGTTGCCACAACGACAAGTTCGTAGTAGTCCCTGACCTCTCGGTTAAGCTTCACTGCTGTGTAAATACTCCCGTTAGATGTGATGCGAAAGAGATTATTGAAGTTGCCCAGACTGTAGTGCACCTGGCCATTTATTCCCGCGTCAGGGTCTGTTGCCTGCATAGAAATTAAAAACAAAGGAATTCACATAGTGTGTTTGTCATGATTTTTTAACATTATATTTTGTTACACTGCCTTGCTAGAAGGGGTAGTTGATACGTTATGGTGTATTTTTGACTGAATATTCTCTCTAAGGAGAAAATTTAAAAAATGATGATGTAATGCAAAAGTCTATAACATGAAAAGAAATATACTATAGTTTCACTAATTTTTCTTCATTCAAAATGACCAGAACATAACTTGATAGTATCATTAGCAATAACATTATGTTATGACAGAAAACTCATATTACAATAATACTGAATTTTTCCTGGACCATCATTTCTTTAATGATTTTGAATTGGAAAATAAGAAACACGTGTCTAGTTTTTAATTAATTTAACATAACCTACTAGATGACAACTTAAGATGCTACATTACTTTTTGTTCAAGCAGTTTATATATTAATTTTCATATATATTTTTTTCAAGCCCTATGTACATGATCTCGTTTAATCCTCACCGTGTTCTTTTAATTTTTAATATTTATTTATTTTTGTGACAGAGACAGAGCATGAACAGGGGAGGGGCAGAGAGAGAAGGAGACAGAGAATCTGAAACAGGCTCCAGGCTCTGAGCGGTCAGCACAGAGCCCAACGTGGGGCTCGAACCCACGAACCATGAGATCATGACGCTTAACTGACTGAGCCACCCAGGTGCCCCAACCCTCACATGTTCTTATGAATAAATATAATTGGTCCCATTTTGCAAATGAGAAGACTGTGGCTTATGGAATGTAATGATCTTGCTTAGAGTTACATAAGAAATCAATGTACAGGGCCCCAGTTCTTAGTACAATGCCTCACGTATAAAATTACTTAATAAATACCTGTGGGATTAATGAAGGTTAGAACAAATGAACACATAAAACTAAGATTTAAAATTAAATCTGCCCCCAAATCCAAATGGGAGTAAAAGTGTAGTAATTGTAAAGCACCCGCAAAGGACTCTTCTTTGAAATTACAATACAATCTCCAAATGGTAATTGAGAATTATTGATACGATAGTAACATAGGAACCAAAAATTTTAAGTCACATAAAAATCACTTTGCATCAAATACAATGTGTGAATTTTGAGTAAACATTCTTCTAATAGAGGGTTATGAGAAATAATCTTATCCAAACTCAATTGTGATATAAATTTTGACAGTCACTATCAGCTACTGTGCATTTTGTGTTAAACAGTTGTTATTATTTTGCTTTTTTTTTAATTTCTTAAATTTTTAAAAATATTTATTTATTTTTGAGACAGAGAGAGACACAGCGTGAGTGGGGGAGGGGCAGACAGAGAGGGAGACACAGAATCCGAAGCTGGCTTCAGGCTCTGAGCTATGGGCACAGAGTCTGACATGGGGCTCAAACCCACGAACCATGAGATCATGACCTGAGCTGAAGTTGGACGCTTAAGCGACTGAGCTACACAGGTGCCCTCGTGTTACTTTTTTCCAAAGAAACTGGAGTAAATATTAGAAGCCATGAGATGCTATATAATTGTGCCCCAAACTGTTGCTAAGGAAAGGAAGGAAGACAAGACATTGGACTGCATTAGGAGCTAGGGACACAAATAATCATTTATAGTCCAGAAAGCCTGAATGCAGCAGGATGTGCTTTAACAGTACACATGCAGAGGTACCTCCACTTTTACAAACCCTAGCAAAGCGTGTTGGGGGCATTGCGGAAAGCTTCTGTCTTGTCTGAAATGGTGAAGTCCAAGATGTGAAAGCCATGTTTGTAACTTGACATCACAGCAGGATTTGTCCATTTGACTCATCAAACAAAAATTCCCCTGGGAGGTCATTACCTCTTGAGGCTAAACCAGAGAACAGACGGAGGAGGGATTGCAGGAATGCCGAAAGAGGAAGAAACACCATGAACGACCTGAAGAGTTTCCAGAGACACATGTTCTTCTACTTTTACTGTGTGCCTAGAACTTGCCATACAAATTACTGACAAATTAGTCAAGCTCGTCACTTAGAGGAAAACTAAATGACAACACTAATCCCCCTTTGGGGGGAAAAACACTTATTTTTTGTCTGAAATCACTGCATAAGTAAATAGAAAAATGTAATCCAGTAATATAATATAAATAGGTCTTATTTATTAGCACCACCATTTGTGGAAATTTCAATGACATTTTGCTATCTGTGGGATTTTTTTTTTAAGTTTATTTATTTGGAAGAGAGAGAGCGAGCAGTGGAGAGGCAGACAGAGAAGGAAAGAGAGAATCCCAAGCAGACTCTGCACTATCAGTGCAGAGCCTGATGTGGGGCTCGACCCCACAAACTGAGATCATGACCTGAGCTGAAATCAAGAGTCGGGTGCTACAGTGACTGAGCCACCCAGGCATCCTTGTCTGTGGGAATTCTTAAGATCACAAAAGCAACTGTTTATATAACCAGTACTTTAAATGATCCCTGTTCAAAATATGTTTTTATTCATCCATATAAGGGAAGATGTGTTATAGAATGATTCAATTTGAGTAAAGTGGCTCTGTGTGTGTGTGTGTGTGTGTGTGTGTGTGTGTGCGTATGTGTGTTGGGTGTGTGTATGCATTGCTTTATATCCATCGGGCTGCTTGGCTGATACCTCCCAGAATGCCTCATGCATATCTGTGTTAGTTTTCTGTGGCTGCCATAACAAATGACCGCAAATTGAGTAATTTACAAAACACAAGTTTATAATTTTATAGCTTTGTATTTCAGAAGTTCAACACGGGTCTCATCAGGCTACAATCAAGGCACAGGAAGGGCTGTGATCCTTTCTGGAGGCTGTCGGGGAAGCTCCCTTTCCTTGTTGGAGGTGTTGACAGAATCCAGTTGCTTGAGTTGTAGGATTGAGCTTCCCCACCTAGTTTTCCATTGTCATGTGAGGACAATTCCCAGCTTAGAGTCTACTCACTTGCCTTGGCTCATGGCACATCTCCTCCATCTTCAAAGCCAACAATGGAGAGTCAAGTCCCTCTCACTTTTGACTCTCTCCTCCTTCTTCTTCCGTCTCAACCTTCTGACCCACTCTCCTGACATCCTCTTCCAGTTTGAAGGGTTTTTACAATTACATTACGACCCACCTGGACAATCCAGAAAAATCTTCCTATCTTGAAATCCTTAACCTTCATCACATCTACAAGGTTCCTTTTGCCATGCAGGGTAACATATTCATATGTGGGACATATTTGGGGGCCATTATTCTGTCTAGCATAGAACCAGAAGCGTAACATGTTCCTGACTGAACTCTCGATTTCTTCTGTGTCCAAATCTTGTTCACCTCCAACAATCGCCATTCAGTAGATGGTCCTCCTACTAACATAATAGGTTATATAAGAAAGAAAGTAGATATTTATGATACCTCCTTCATTTATCTTATCAATTATTCATTCATGCAACAATTTGAGAAAGCAAGTTTAATACTACGTATGAGGCTCAGTTGTGGGCTGTGATACATGGTATATTAAGTACCAAGGTCCAAGACCTAGTGTCATTTACAAAATAATCCCTGTCTGTCTATAATGTGTTGCTTTCACCCACATATAATATCTCACTCCTAATTACCTTGGTCCTAGCCACCACTGACTACAACTTAGATTACTAAATTACTTCTCTCTTTTTTTTATTATTTATTTTTGAGAGAGAGAGAGAGAGAGAGAGAGAGAGAGAGAGAAGAGGGGCAAGGGTGAGGGAGACACAGAATCCAGAGCAGCCTCCAGGCTCTGAGCCGTCAGCATAGGCTGGAACTCACAAACTGTGAGATCATGACCTGAGCCCAAACCAAGAGCTGGAAGCTTAACTAACTGAGCCACCCAGGTGCCCCAACTAAATTACCTCTTAATTCTTTTCTTTTACTTACATCCCTTCAGAGAGACCTTTTATAGAGGGGAAATAATGACATCGGTCCTCTGCTTAACACCCTTCAATGATTTCCAGTGCTTTGGGCAGTATTCAAATTCACCATCCATGGGCAAGAGGTTCCGTAAAATGCTTTCACTGTGTTCCCTCCAACCCCCAAACTTCTCCGGAAACTTCTGCCTCCTCGGCTTCTGCTGTCACTACCCGGCTACCACCTCCTCACACTCATCTTTCACGTGTCAGTGTAAATGCCACTCGCTCAAAGCAGTCTTCTCTGATTCCTGAAAAGGAGATTAGACTCTCCCGTCACACAGGCCGAGAGCTCCGAGTACCTGTCGTTTACGCCGCTTTGGATAATTTACATTTATCTCTTTATCAGCGTGCTTACTTGTGTAAGAACTTTTCTCCTTTTTCACAAGGTAAGCCATAAGAGTATGGTCTGGGCTGTTCTGGTTTCACTGAATGCTCAATTCCTAGTACCGCGTCTGGCACACTTCATAAATGAGTGCTATAGACTGGCACACATAAGTGGGTGTATTCACACTTCTATGTAGTAGTTGGAAGGTTTCTTAGAGTATTTTCTTCACTGTACATCTATCGCTCGGGCTTACTTTGATTCTTGCTTTATTATCCTCTGCAATTGTGGGTAAGAATTTGAAACCAAAAACTGTGGAATTATCAGAGTTGCATCGAGGGCTCTGATCACCTTGGTGAAACCACTGATTCCAAGTCTATGCTGAAAAAACACAATTTTTTAGAAGACTATAGTAGTGTTTTATCACGACGTAAACAAGCACATGATAACAAGTGGATACCTTTGTACTTATAGCATTTTGCAGAATGACAAGGGGGGTTATGGAGGTTGAGGTGGCTAATGACTGTTATATAAGGAGAGACTGCTATATTGTGGAAATGCTGATTGGTCTCAGTGTTCCCAGCTTATTTTTTGAGGTCATTAACTTTGGTATGTTACTTTTTCTCCCTAGGTCCCAGATCTCTCAACTATAAAATAAAATAAAATACGTGAAGTGGGAGAACAGTTTGAATCTCATTTCCTACCGCAATGCATGTCAGAAATAAAATTCACAAACGTGGCACAGATCGTCATTATAACATG